AAGCCTAAATTTTTCATCTGGCTATCAAATGGCAGTCCTTTCACATACCAACGTTGGTCCAACCTGGAACCTACTGGACTCAGTGGGGATGGCTCCAACCATATTGAAAACTGTGTGGAGCTGCAGAGAGATTCAACACTGCACGATTTTTCCTGGAATGATCGATATTGTCTTGATGAAATGAATTTTATTTGTGAAAAATACAATACTAACTGCTAGAAGAATATAATGATATTCTTTAATTTTGTTTTCTTTTAGATTTTTCTTAGGTCTCATAAAAAACGTCAGACCTACTTATAGCTACTACTTATTCCTTTTATCAATTTCTCACTTTTCTTCCCAATCTCGTATATCTGCTGTGTCAAAGTTTTACTTGGTCTCCTTTTTCTCCTTGTTTTTATTTTTCTTACCTCAACTCTTTCGACCAATCCACTTACCTCCATCATGCATATATGGCTATACCTTCCTAATTGTTTTCTATCAAGTTATAACGAGGTTTATATTTTCAAGAGTCTTAACCCTTTCGGTCATCGTGTCCACACCGATGGACATCGATTTTCAAAGCATTTTCTTAAAACATCGATGGTTATTATCGCCCAAATCATTTTGTCCATGTGTAGGTACATGCATAAGAAAAGCATTGAATACATTGATCCATCTGTTAGTCGATTTGTGAAGCTATATAAAACGCAAAACAGGTTGCATTTAGCACGCTGTCGTGGTGGTGAAAACATCTGTTTGTTATTGGAACGATTTCTATTGAATAAACTTGTTTTTTCGTACAAATACGATTATTACGAAATTACGATTTCATCATATATCAAGGTGCTGAAACGATAATAAAAGAAAATTATGCACAGTTTGGACAAGGAGCTGGAACTGTGATGCAGCTAGTTGAGAGAATTGAAGAAACTCATTACGGTTTGTACTTTGATAATTTCTTTGGTTCTTATCACCTCTTTCAATGGTCGAACAATAAATCTATTATGGCTGTCGGAACAATTAGAATAAACCGATTTTTGGACCAGAACTAACATCTGATAAAGATCTAAAAAAAATGGCAGAGGTAGTTTTGATGTAGCGGTTAGTGAAGATGGAATTGTGATTGCAAAATGGTTCGACAATAAACCAGTTTTAGTGGCTTCAAATTTTGTTGCAGCGGGAAAAATGGATTTGTGCCAGAGATGGGATAAGACGTGGTGTTGATAAGTTAGATTTTTTATTGAGCGTTTACAGATCCTACAGACGATCCAGAAAATGGACTGTAGGTACGTATGATAACACATGCTATAGATATGGCGATAGTAAATTCCTGGTTGGAATATAGAAAACAAGCTGAACTGCTAGGCGTACAACACAATAAAATCCTGGATATGTGGGACTTTAGAATGAGTATTGGGCAACACCTCATTTTACATAAGGTTCCACCAAAGAGAGGCAGACCATCTGGTCAAGAAAATACTGGTACACCAAATAATAAAAAAACCAAAACTAAAGCAAGGCCATATATTGACCATTATAAAATGATTAATTCGTTATTTACAAAGAATATTGTTTATTTCGTAATTTTAATGATATTCAAATAAATTTCTAAAATCTTCAGGTTTACTTTATTTTGCTTCAAGTCATAATGTCCATCAACATGGACATGTCATATGCCAAGTGACATATGACATTTAAAAAAAAATTATGTTAAAATTATCAACAAAAATAGTTTATTTTATATACCAAATATGAGAATTTTACCATAGCTCAAAAAAAGTTGTGACTGAAATGGTTAATCCCTAACCCATTAGCGCCCAAGTTTTTTTTTTAAATCTTCACTTTTAGAGTTAATTAGATAAAAATGATAATAATTTAATAAAAAAAAAAACAAGTTTTTTGGTTTAATGTCTTTTTTTAAATTTAATAGAAAATATTTTCAACGTCTGGTGTGGTATCCTATAAAACAATTAACACACAAATCAATGTTGCCTTTTTGGCACATTGTTCGTCCAGATGTTGTACATCCGTCACCAGCACATCGCATTCTACTGCTGGGTTTAACGAAATGGTCGATGCGATCAAAACGAAGATTTGGCAAGTCTGTCTATGTAGACTAGGTCTTTCTGAGCCAAGGGAAGATTTTGGGTCAATTTTCTTCTAAAGGATAGCACGGATATATCTTTTTTTTTATATAAATGCCATAAATTATGGCATTTATATAAAAACGTTACAATTGACCAGTACTATTCTTGACTGCGAATTGCTACTGGGTAGGTTGAAACACATTGATCCATTAAAAAATTTAATGAAAAATCCTTTTACAAAGGATTTTTAATTAAATTTTTTAATACATGGTATACAGCCAACTACAGGAACGTAGATTCCTTGTGAACTTGATCCATTAAGTCAGTACTCCCCATATTTTTATTGTATTCTTGTAAATACACTGAGGTCGAATTACTTGAATGTGCCATTTTTCTTCATGAGAAATTTTTTTTTCCGTACCCAATGCTGAACCACCACAACTCGTACATTTCATTGTAACAACAGAGTTATCTTTCCATCGCACCAGTAATACACCGCTGTTTTTTTCTATTGTATGTTGTGAATAGCCACGATTTGTTTTAGAAAACTTCTTCTTTTTTTCCAAAGAACGGTTAGGTGGAATTCTGTTTTTCCTGAGGTGCCTAAATAAATTCAGTCCTGAGAATAGGTTGCCAACGTATAAGTTGTAGTGTAAATCTGACTGATTTATCTCTTCAAGCATTCGCACCAAAGGAGATGAACACTTGCCAAAGAGTTTATCATATTGTTCATTTGAACGTAGATTTCTTCCTTAGTATAGGTCAAAGTTTATTAGATATTCAGTAGAAGTATTTAACGACCACATTTTATAACCAAAGCGTAATGGATTATTTCGTATAAATTGTTTACATTGATGCCGACCATAACTCTTGATCATAGACTCATCATAGGATAGATTTTTTGTTGGAACATAATTTTCAAGACATTTTGTTTTATTTTGTCAATCAATGGCCGAATTTTCCATGCTCTGTCACTAACATTGAGCTTTGTATTATCTGCGAAACGCAAAAACCTATGAATCCTAGGAGTGGCACAACAAAAAGAAGAAAATGTATCACAATACATTCTCTTCGATAGTAATGGATTGTACCCCGATAGCAGGATAATACCTATACAATAACGGATTTCTTCAGATGCAATGCATAAGTCAGTTTGTTTACTTAGTAGTTTACTGTCTCATTATCAAAAAATAAACTGAAGATATCAAGACATGATAGATTTTCATACCTAGCATAATTTTCTTCTGTAAACTCTAAACTTGCAGGCTGTAAGTCTTCTTGCACCCTAAGCAAATTTTTTCATTATTACGTCTTTTCTTTCATTTTGTCATAGTTGAAACGATGCTCTAGTTTCTCTTTCGGGTGTCTTCACTACTGCTTGTGACTGTAATAAAAATAAATTTTAAACCTAAGCAAATTAAAAAAATACTGGTTATACTTACCTCTGTCTGCACTTCTTCATTGTCAGTACTGATCCTTTCATTGCTAGAAAGTTGCATTTCTGCTTGCACTCGTAGCTGCCTACCTGTAAAATAAACAATTATAATATGTAGGTACGTCAGTATAACTAAGCACCTGCTAGGTTATTTACGAATTCACCTTCATCTTCATTTGCAGAATCCTCGTCTGTATCAGCACCATTTACATCTGGCGGTGTAATAAAAATATTATCGACTTGCCCGGTTAATTTCTCGTCACTGTAAACCATATTTAGCGCTTCTGCTAATACAAATTTACGACTGAAAAAAAAATAAGCTAATGACTACGTAAGCGCCCACCGCAACCATATGGTAATTTTAATACTTCTACCAAATTCGCTACATTTAATTGTTGATAAAATACAACAATTTATAATAAGTTGGAGTATAATAAACTTAGTTTTTTTTAAATGCAAATATAGTTACTAGAACACTATCAAACATTATTCACGCAAAATGGACGTCCATGTTTTTCTGTAAACTTAAACCACACTGTCATATATTTACCACTTAAAAGCAGACTATATAGGTACCCCTCTAGTAAGGTAACTCCCATAGAAAGTTTCTATTGCCAAGTACGGAAGGGCCGAAACTAATTTCATTTGTAATGCAATTTCAGTAGTTGCTCAAGGCTGACCTATTACAGCTCGTCTTTCATAAAGACCAGTCTCTCGGTACCTTACTACCACTTGTGTGGTAGTAAGGTACCGAGTCCTCCATCCTTCCTCCTTCCTTCCATCTTCAATGAGGCAAATTATTCTAACAACTTAATCTCGCGTTAAAAAATTTATATTCTCACGAGCTTCCATACTCAATATTTAATACGAAATTTTAAATTAAACGCAAACTGTACACTTTTTAAAAAAGTAAAATAAAGACTGATAATATAAAAACCAGACAAAATAGCACTTAACCTTTTTTTTCTTAAACAGTAAGCTGTATTTACATATTTCTTTTAATATTTATTCTAACCTTAATATTCTTAAGGGCCAGAGAGAAATAATTTTAATTTAAAAAATGCTGTCAGAAATATTTGTTATTTTATAAGTGATGCGATACTTTTTTGACGGAGTATTATTATCCTTTTATTCAGTTATTGTTACCTAAAACATGAGAACCGCCCAACTCTATATTATAGATTACGTTTATAATGGTATTTATTTATATACAAGAGGTTATACACCTGTTTGTTGTGTATGACAACAAAATGTGTATAACTTTATTTTGTTATAATTTATTTTCATTTTAACTTTGTATAAATTTTTTGAAAACGATTTCCGTCAAAAACAAATATAAAATAGGAAATTTTTATTCCAAAGAAAATATAAACATAATGTTAAGATACACTTAGATAAACCACAAGAGAACAGTTTCAGCATCTCTTTGCCCAACTCTATGTTTTCATTATTGTAAAATGTTGCCTGGCAAGAAAAGGCTAATATAAACACTCTACGGTGTACGTCCGAACGGCATAAAAAATGTATAAAATCCTGTTTTGGTTAGTGAATTTTTTGACGGTTTTTCTTTTCGTATCTGGTGTTCCACAAGATGTTCTTTTTACATCGCATGTTAAGAAACAAAAGCCAACAAATATATTAAATTATGCTGGTAAAACGTATTATTTTGGAAATGTCTTTAGGGTAAGTAATACAATGTAATGAAAAATTTTTCTACCGACCAAAAATGCTTAGAGATTATTTTATTTCATTTCAGAGGGGGTATTAACTTTAATAGTTTCTTAAAGTGTAATAAATATATATAGTTCCCTCTTTCATTATTTTGATATATCTAAAAAGTCTTTACATATCTCTTTCTTCTTCATATGCCTCATCCTTTAAGGACATTGGCGGTCATTAAGGTCCATTTTACTCTGTCTACAGTACTCCTGAAGAGTCATATTCTTGTTTTTACATTCCACTTTTTTCAACCAGGATATCTTTTCCTTTTATGTTCCCTTGTATAACCAATCGCATCAACTCATATTTTTTATTACAAGGCTGCGATTTCATTGTTCATTTAGCTCACATCCTAAATAATTGTATTTGGATATTTTTTCTATAGCTTCCACTTTAACGTAAATTGTTTGGTCTTCAATTTTCATCTAGAACATCCTTCCTAGATCAGACGCCAATCATATTTTTTTTTGTTATTGTGTTCAGAGCCATTTCATACCTCTTACAGTACTGCGTATTGCGATCAACCAGAAGTTGCAGCCTTTCTCTGCTGGCCGCATGAAATATTGTATCGTCTACATGTCTGAGATTATTCACTAGTGTTTCATTAATTGATATACCTTTATTGATGTCTTCTAGTGCTTCTTTAACCCTAGAATACTAACCTTATTTTTGCCTTTATTTATACCAACCATTAAAAAATTTATTACACTGAGAAAAAAATGTGGCCACTGAAAAAGTATTTATTTATGTTAATTTTACAAATTATTTTAAACGTTTTACAAATTATTATTAACGTTTTGATATTTCTTTCTTCTTCTTCATGTGCCTTGTCCGTTCCGAACGTTGGCAATCAACATGGCTATTCTGACTTTGTTTACGGCAGATCTAAATAATTCAGCAGATGATAATCCGAACCATTGCCGCAAGTTTTGGAGCCACGAGTGTCTTCTCCTCCCTGGACCCCTTCTGCTGTCTATTTTCCCTTGAACGATCAGCTGTAGTCCTCTATATTTATTATGTCTCATAACGTGACCCAAGTATTCCAACTTTCTTTTCTTTATACTTATTCCTACCTCTCTCTCTCTCTCTTTACCTATCCGTCGCGTCGTAGTACCTCTTCGTTGATCACGTGCTCAGTCCAGGATATACGTAATATACGTCGGTAAGCCCACATTTCGAAGGCCTCTACGTTTTTCATCAATGTTGCGGTCATTGTCCATGCCTCCATTCCATATAACAAAACCGGGAATACATAACATTTCAGAAGTCGAATTTTGAGAGGTAGGGTGAGGCTTTTAGAGGTAAAAATTTGCTTCATGCTAGTGAACGATGCTCTTGCCTTTTCTACTGTTATACGTATTTCCTTCGCTTGATCCCAGGGAGATGTACGAATCCACGTCTTCAATTCCTTCATTGTCTAATATCAGTTGTTGTGGTGGTTGTTGGGTTTTGCTTACTAACATCCATTTGGTTTTTGTGATATTTAGTATGAGTCCATATTGTGCACTTGTTTTTTGTATCTTACTCATTAGGCAACTCAGTTCCTCCATGCTACTTGCTAGAATCACAGTGTCATCAGCATACATTATGTTATTAATTATTTCTTCATTTATTTTTATGCCTTCTGTGCTTTCCTCCAGCGCTGTCTTAAATACTTCTTCTGAGTATATATTAAAGAGAATTGGAGACAAGATACAGCCCTGTTGTACCCCTTTCTTGATCTCAATTTTATTGGTCAATGTAGATCCTACTTTCACTTTAGCTGTTTGACCCCAATAGAGACTCGCTATTGTTCGAATGTCTCTGTAGTCGACTTCGATCTTGTGGAGAACTTCAATTATTATCTTTTCGTGCTTTACGTTATCGAATGCTTTTGCGTAGTCTATGAAGCATATGTACACGTCTTTGTTCATATCTCTGCAGCGCTGGATGAGTACCTGTAGACTAAAAAGTGCTTCTCTTGTCCCAAGAGAATTCCGAAACCCAAACTGCGAATCAACAATGTTATCCTCGCATTTTTTGCTTATTCTGTTGTAAATAACTTTGGTGTATGCCTTCGAAATGTGGTTAATTAGACTTATCATCCGATGTTGATCACAAGACTTTGCTTTAGGTTTTTTCGGTATGGCAACAAAAGTTGACTCTAGCCAGTCTCCAGGAAACTCCCCGCTGTTATAAATATTGTTAAAGAGTCTGACGAGTGAGTCTAGAAATTGACTGTTTGTTTCGCACAGCATTTTCAATACTTCCCTGTATACGTTATTGTTGCCTGGTCTTTTGTTATTTTTAAGACCCTTTATAGCATTCTCCACTTCTGATTTTAGAATAGAAGGGCCAGTATCATCATTGCTCAGTGTACACCCACTAGGACGGTCATCATTAAACAGTTGGTCCACATAAGTTTCCCAGATTCTAACTATTTTGTCGGGGTCTAGTTGTAGATTTCCATTATCATCGCACAGCCTTTTCGATAAAATATTGTAGCTTTTCTTTGTTGTGAGTTCCTTTATCTTCTTATTCATATTGTGATAGTCGTATACCTTTTCGCACTGTTCGATTTTTTCGCATATTATCTCAGCTCTTATTCGTCTATGGGTTTCACGGTATTTGGCAGTATCTTCAGCTTTATATATCCGTCTCTCTTCCATCATGTCAAGGATTTCTGCAGTAATCCAGTCTTTCTATTTTCTCTTATCAGGTAGTAAAAACTTAGTGCTTGAAGTCCTAATCTCTTCTTTAATTTCACTCCACTTTTCCAGCGGTTCATTGTTATTTTTAAGGATTTTTGATATTTCGGTATTTAAATTCTCCTGCATCTGTTGTTTAATATTATTGTTGGAAAGCTTCCTAATATCTAGCGTTTCGGGCCTCCTCTTTACATTTGGCTTTTTTAACTTTACTTCAAACTTACATACCACCGGATTGTGGTCTGATGCTACGTCCGCACCCGGGTAAGTTTTTACGGCTTTGATGGAGTTTCTAAACCTGATTGGTGCAGCGATATAATCTATTTGATTTCTGATTATTTTACCAGGTGAGTCTGCCGGTGATTTCCTATTTTCTATTTCTATGATATTTTTTAAAACTAAAATCACAAAAAAATCATAAATTCTACATTTTCGAACCAAACTGCTGACAACAAAGAGCTCGATGTTTACCACAAAATGGACGTCGGCAGTGCTCGCAATGATGGGTTGTCATTCGACTTTGTTTAAACGGACAAAATTAACACCTGGTAAGCTTTGACACAATAAGGCGTATTCGTTCTTGCCGCGGCTCCAGATTTAAAATATTTTCAATGAGCAACTCTACCGAGTGGTTTAAAGTTAACCAATTTACACGATGTTGTAGACAAGGTTTCGTCAGTTGTTCAGACAAAATGACGATAAATTTTTTTTCGGTGATGTTTTTTTATGCTGTCGTTGTTAATTATGATTTTAAATTATGCAAAAATTTATGCAAGCTATATTTATCATGCCATAGAACAGACAAAGAGGCCATTTTCTTGTTTTTCTGGAGATGTTCATGTTGTCTTATAGAATACCATTGTTTTTTCACCTTCGAAGCAAAATAAGGAAGGACCAATTTCACAATTTTTGAGATTTATCATCTCGGGAAGTATTTCTCTCTTATTTTGCTGTGGAGTACCAACTATAGTTAAATTGTAAGGTCTAAAGAGCTCTAATCTTAGCGGTACTGACGTAAACCAATTATCCATACTTTTACTTCCGTACACACCCTGAGTTAATTGTTTTATATAATATACTTCTAGAGGGAGTCCATTGGTTTTAGTACCCTTTCCTAAATACAATTCTGCATCGAATATATATTTGGTATCTACATCACACAGCATTATTATTTTTAGTCCACATTTGGCTGGCTTTTTTGGGATATACATCCGGAAAGGACATCTTCCCCTCAAAGCCAGTAGCTGTTCATTGATTGTTAGGTATGTACCTTTTGCAATTCTGTATAAGATCATCCTATATTTCACGAACGGCTGCTAATAGGTCTGTTTCTTTTCTGTCTGGTCTAAAGATTTTATCATTAAAACGTAAACATTCTCGAAGAAATTCCAATCTTTCTTGGTCCATATTTGCTGTATATATCGCACCAGAAATTTTGTAATCAAACATTTGTCAGGTTACTAAATGATTGTCTTTTTGGGCAGCACTAAAAATAAGTAGTTCTAGAAGTGTCCTAGTCAATATTCACTTTTGAGTTTGTAAGTTTTTCGACTTTATATTTTTGTGCCCTAACAGAAATTTCAGCATTTGTATATCCTACAATTTTTCCCAAAGACTTTGGACTTATAAAATAATGAAAAGGAGCTAAGAGAGTTTGTGTTTCCTTGGTTTTATCAGAGGGGCCTTCAACAAAATGTACGAAATTACATTTTGGAGTTTAAGTAGCAGCCTTTGGTTAAGAGGACCTCCTGTGCCCACTTTTAGCTTTTAGGCTCGACGTCAACCGAGTTTGTTTTTCTTGAACTGCAAGTTCTGGTGATTCTTCTTTGTTTGTTGGAGTTTGCTGAGCAGGACATTTATTCTCATTGTCGATTTTAGAGCCATTACTTTCTTTTTTTGAAAACACTGAGACAAAATGTTTTTCCAAGTCATTACTCTTTTTAGAACTTCTTTTTCTTTTCTTACTACTGGATTGCAAGTCATGATCGGAATCTAAGTCATTTTTGCTTGATTATTTAAATAGATGGACTGAATGGTTCTAAAACGGCATCTTATGTTTCAGATCCACTTTCTGATTTATCAGAATTGTTATCCGATTCATCTGGCCAAAATGTTTCCAGGCACAATTGCAACTCAGCTTCCAAATCCCGCTGTGTTAGAGGTCTGTGCATGTCTTTACTTTTCGTATTCAAATTTTACACTAAAAAAAAAACAGAACTGATAATGTCGTTGTTTCTGCAATTATTACGTTATTACTTACCTTAGTAATACTTACGAAGTTGTGCTCATTTGCAGGCACTTCACTAATAATGTATGCGTATCTGTACTTGTAAAACGTTTTGATTACACTAATATAAGAACAGATAAGCGGGAGAGAGATACTGGTGTTCCTTCCACAATATCCTACGACAACAACATTGGCGCCGTAAAAATTGCGATGGTTAGTATTCTAGGGTTAAACATCTCTCTGAGCAGATATTAAAAAGTAGAGAGGATAGTACACAGCCTTGCCACACTCCTCTTCTTATAGGTATCTCTTTAGATAGTTGTTGGTCTACTCATATTACAGCTTTCTAATATCGTTATAAGTTTGAAATGATTCTCACATCCTGATCATCAATTTCTGTGTTCCGTAATATTTTTGTAAACCTTCTCTGTTGTACTTTGGCGAAGGCTTTTTCAAAAATCAATTATTCATCTGAATACGTCACAGCTGACATCTTGACACGGTTCTATGAGTGTTTGTATAGTGAATAATATCTCTAGTGTCAAAGCCTTTTCTAAGTCCCAGGGTTGGTTTCCTGTTATTCTTTCGTCTAGTTTTTTCATGTATCACTCGCAAGAAGACTTTTAACCCAAGAGAAAAGGTGTCTCTATGGGCCCTCCATAGCAACTAATCAGTCTGAATGAATTCAGACAAGGTTTTAGGATCAGCAGCAACCCCCAGTGGGAGTCTTACGTTGACATGCAGGGTATCTGTCAAATATTTAACCATCACAACATATTTTCAACTATGAAATACACAACAAATTTTGTAATATTTTAAGAGTTTTTACCCAGATATTTAGTGGATGTATACAGGGTAATAATACACTTCTTCTTATGGCGCCGTCTCCTTTCGAAGGTTGGCGATCCAAATGGCAATTGTAGTTTTGGAAACTGCTGCGCGAAAGATTTCTGCGGATGAGCGGTCGAACCATCTCCTTAGGTCTTTCAGCCATGAGTTCTGACGTCTTCCTACTGATCTTTTGCCTTGTACTTTTCCTTCCAGTATAACTTGAAGTAATTTATATTTTTCGCCTCTCAACACATGACCCAAGTATTGCATTTTCCTCTCTTTGATTATTCTTAGTAATTCTTTTTGTTTACTCATTCGACGAAGTACCTCAACATTAGTAACTCTTTGTACCCATGGAATTCTCAATATTCGTCTGTATACATACATCTCAAAGGCATCTATTCTTTTTTCTATTTCGGAGTCCATTGTCCAACTTTCACAGCCATATAGTAAGACAGAAAAAACGTAGCATCTAATCATTCGGATTCTAAGCTGCAGACTAAGGTCTGATCTTGTAAAAAATGTTTTCATGCTCATGAATGTTCTTCTTGCTTGTTCGATTCTTGATAGTATTTCTTTTTTTGGGTTACACTGACTATTGATATTTGCTCCCAAATATTTTATAGAATTTACCTGTTCTATCATTTGACCCTTGGCATACACATGTATGTTTATTGGTGTCTTTGAAAATACTAAAGTTTTCGTTTTGGAAACATTTAGATGTAAGCCGAACATTTCGCTGTGGTGAACTACCGCATTTATTATATTTTGTAGTTCTTGTGCGTTGCTTGCTATTAAAACAGTATCATCAGCATATCTGATGTTGTTTATGCTGATTCCGTTAATCTTAACTCCGCCTTGGACCTGATCTAATGCTTCTCTGAATATGGACTCCGAATATAAATTAAACAGAAGGGGTGATAAGACGCAACCCTGTCTCACTCCTCGTCGGATTTGTATATCTTCAGATGTTGTGTGCTCTATTTCAATGGTTGCCGTTTGGTGCCAGTATAGTTCTGAGATAATTCGCAAGTCTTGTTCGTCAACTCCAGTTGTTCTCAGAATTTCAATCATCTTTTGATGGTTAACACAGTCAAATGCTTTTCGATAGTCAATAAAGCATGCATATACATCTACATTCATGTCTCTGCATCGTTGCGTTAACACATTTAAAGCAAACAGAGCCTCTCGTGTTCCCAATCCGTTTCGAAATCCGAATTGAGTGTCACTCATCTGAAACTCGCACTTCTTGTAAATTCGTGTATGTATAATTCTGAGAAAAGCTTTAAGGACATGAGACATCAAGCTTAATATTCGATAATCATCGCATTGTGAGGAATTCGATCTTTTTGGTAATGCTACGAATGTTGATTTTAGCCAGTCTGTTGGTATTTTACCTTTGTCATATATCTTATTGAATAGTGTTGTTATTAAGTCTAGGCTTTTACTTTCGTTATCTGCAATTAGTTTTAGTATTTCGACATTTCGACATTATACACTGATGATGGACTTTTTAGTCCAAAAACGTTCTATGATGTAGCCCGTAAGGGTTTTTAAAATTATATCCATGTTATAAAGGATTTTTAAATTAAACTTTATTTTTTACATCTCTTCTTGCCCAAAAGTATCTTTTTCGGTCATTTTTTGCCAGCGTTTATTGTACAATTGTTTCTTTTACACATTTAAATTTTTTAATGCAAATACAGTTTTGTATTATCTTTTCTCTTTATGAAATCTGGATTTTCTTTCTCTTTATGAAATACAACCAAATTTTTAGCATATTTAAATAATATTGTGAGTATATTAAAATTATATGAATGACTTGTAAAATATTGTAATTATTTGAAATGAGTTTTAAATTACTTAATATACTTAACATTTTTTCGGATTAGTTTTAGTAAAGTACCTTAACGGAACATCAATGATTTAAGAAATTAAAAAAGCATCGAAGCATTCTTGTTTAATATATTTTTAATTTATATGATTTTATTTATCCAGAAACCTAGTATCCATCCCACAGTAATTTTGATGAAAATAGAGTTGAAAAAATTAATTTAAATTTTATTTAATTTTTCAAATATACAAGAACCAATTTTCATCTAAACCCAATCCATTAGAAAAGCAGGGCATTCTTCCATCTACGGAAAAATCGGAATGTGATCAATCTGATGTTGAAAGAAATACATCGTTGGTAAACGAGATAAGAGAATTTTTATTTTAAAAATTTTGTTAATTGCAATGGGGTGAATGCCAAAAAATTCTGAAATTGAACGCTAAAAAAGGTTAGTGTTAGTAAAAAAGTGTTTAAAATTAAACAAACTTTTTCTATTCTCATTTGAAATCAGGTAAGGTAACAGTAATGAATAGGAAAAAGTTAACGTTTTATTGCTACTTAACGTGACAAATCAAATAGACGTATTAATACCTAAAACACTTCTTTCTCATCAGAATCACTTTCCCTGAAGACCATTTTAGGATCTGGAAATACGATACAATTGCCAGATAAGCCAGAAGGATTAATTTTAAATATATCTATGGAGATTATTATTGTGGAAAACAGCTTATACACTGCTAGTCAAAAGTCCGTTCCCCCTCGTATCTTTTGAACGGTTATTGTTATAATAGTGAAATTTAAAGGGAGGTAATAAACAGACGTAGGCTTCTCAACTAGTCATCACAGGTGACGTAGTAGTGACAGATGACGTTACAGCGCCACTGTGACAGATAATTTTAAATGGAACCTTAGAACGAGTGATACCTTATTTGAAAAATATTGAAAATACCTATTCAACCATGCTAATTTCATTTAAGTTTATACTCATTTGGATGAATAAATTAAATAAATATTAAAATTGTAGCTTCTTATTTAAGTAATAAATATTTTTCAACCAGTTCTTACAGTAAGTGTTCAAAATGTGCTCCATCTACTTCCTGACAGTAATGCATCCTATTTCTAAACTCGTTCAAATATGCATGGGGGAAATTGCCATATATTCTTCAACAATTCGTTGTTTTAAATTGTCAATATTGTCGGGTGCTATAGCGTTAACTTTAAATTTCAAGTATCCCCACAGAAAAAAATCTAATGGTGTGAGGTCCGGTGACCAAGCTGGTTATTCTATCATACCTCGTGATCCAATCAATCTACCACGATATTCCATATCTAGGTAACGTCTTACTTAACCATAATTTTATGCATTAGCACCATCTTGTTGAACCGTTATTTCCAAGTTGCCAAATTCATCTGGATTATTCTCCTGAATTTCAAGTATCAACGGGTCAATTAAATTTTGTAACATCTTCAGATACATTTTAGGATTTATATTGTTTTAGGCTAACTTTTATGGTGCTTTCCAATTTTGCCGCCAGCAAGGAATGCAATTGGTCAGCATTATGAATGATGCTGAAAACGATAGATTAGGAAAATTTGCAGATGAAATAGGTAGGTAAGAAAATAGTACCGCTAATGTAAGTAAACATATTATGCATTCATATGAAAAATTGATAAAAAAGCGTTATATAGATTTGCAAAATATTGCATCGTAAGAAATATTTAAAAAAAAAACAAGAAGTGAGAATGTATTCTTACAAATCGTTTTCTTCCAGGTTTCTTTCCCCCATTGCTCCTTCGATTCATTTTTTTTATGTTATTTTTGATCGTTCGTGTTTTCTTTTCTATTTGCAGCATTTATTATTTCCATGTGGCCATACCATATAAGGTGTGGGTTATTATTATATCGGTGATGTTTTCTGTTACTTCCATCTATTTTTTAACGTCTTATTTTCTTCTGTTTCAATTTTAATATTTTCTCCGCTCTTCTCAGGAATTTCCACTGTCTCAGTTTTTTCCTTATTTGCCTTGCTTTGTTGTTACGGTATGTCCATTATAGAGAGGCTCTGTACATTTGTTGTTTTTCTGCTAATGCCTGCTTGTGATCAGTTGAATGTTTTATCAAATTCGATGAAATAAACAGAAACGTTCTTTCGGAACTCACAAATTTTTTTGTAAGAGAATGCACAAATATTGCCCTTATTCTCATTCTACTTTTGACTAGAAAAAATATTTATGAATGTGTATGGCTCATCAAACTGATTAGTCTAAAGTCACTGTATTTGTTGGTCGTGCTTTTCTTTGGTAATGTTATAAACAGTGACTCCAACCAATCATCTGACAGTTTTCCTTCGTTTTAAATATTGTTAAAAAAGTAGTTAAAGTAAGTAATGTTTTCATCATACAAAAGTTTAAGTATCCAAGCAGGGATTTGATCAAGTCTAGGTGCTTAATAATTTTTACCTTCCTGTATGGCTTTTCTTCTGATTTCAGTATACTAGGACCTCTGTCTAACTGTTTGCCACAGGTAGTATGTGTATAGCATTTTCTTAAGAAGCATCGTCAAGATATTGATTATTGGTTAAAGCTGTCGTGTTTTTTTGGAGATCTTTTAGTTCTTTAGATAAGTTCTTAAGCGAAAATTCGTTGGCTTGCTTAATTTTTTTTAACGAGTTGTTGATTTAGCGGTATTTGTGATGACACGTGATGGGGCTTATAGGATAGGTTAACCTGGAGAGTGGAGTTAGCTTATTGAAACACCTTCTATCTATCGTGTCTAGATTCAGAATGGTTTTATTTCCACATCCTTGTACCTGTCCGTCACGTTACTCTTACATTGTTATCAATCTCAATGCGTTCAAAATATTTACTTATTTACATACATCACAGTATTTGTTAATATTTGTAATTTTATGTCTTCGCCGAACTTCCATCAGATCTAGGATTTCTTGTGTCATACACTCAGTTTAAATGTTTTTTTTTAAATTTCAGGCTTGCAATATGAGCATTTTTGGACTTCCGGAACCAACTTAGCCAATTCCTACAGATTTATTTGGTTATCAACTGGTAGTGCTATAGTTTACAGTAACTGGTATCCAGGTGAACCTTCTGGACATAGCTCAGACGGAAAGAACTTGACCGAAAATTGCGTAGAGGCAACCAGACTAGCTGGGCCCAAAGGGCTTTATTGGAACGATCGATATTGCTTGGACGAACTAAGCTTTATATGCGAAAAATATGGAAATGAATGTAGAAGATGAATATGTTCGCAAAATGTAATTAACTGTATGTTATTATATTAAGACACGTCTTTATTAACTTATTGCATAATTATGCGATTACTGTAGTTTAATAGGTGATTGTAAAATAAATAAGAAAAATATTAAAATTATAATTGTATGCTCCAAGAATACTTTTATTTGTGGTTTTTAGCTTCTAGGTAACTGTACTTAAATGTTCTCTAAAGCTTAACGTTCTCTCCCAAGTCACGTCTAGGTATTTTGGATATTTATTCTAGTTGAGCAGTGTATTTTGAAAGTAAACGTTAAGTGTTCTTGAAGTCAAATTGTTGTTCAGGAGGAAGCTGGTTGCTAAAGTTTTAGAGGCGTTAAGAGCATTTTTAAAAGTATCTTCCCATAACTTATAGGTCTTCCGTCAGAATCTCTTCAGCTTTTTTTTTAAAGATGAAAACTATACATGAAGAAATTATTTAAATATTAGAGGCAAATAAAAGACTTAGAACTATGCAATAGTAGAAAAACTAGAACAAGTATAACAAAAGAAGAAGCCGTCATGCATGCGGTAAAATAAGAAAAGATACAGGTCCTAACGAGTACCAGCAGAAATAATTAAAATATCCATACAAGATCAAGTAAAGAAACAATAAGACTTGTACAACACTATATATGATACCATCATCATTCCACAAGAATGTAGTCAGTGACCATAATACTATCAGCTTAATGAGCAAGACTCTTTGATTTGTATAAAAAAACTGATACTCAATCCTTTATGGATTTATGAACCCCGAATGGCGATATATTAGTTTTGATCTGTCCTAAGGCCAGTGATAAATCAAGCTACCATGTGTGAATCATGAGAATGAAATTCTTGAGGCAAATCTTTTTTTCTTCTTTTTCTTCTTATATTTCGAAATCTGCTTTGACCTTACTAGTTGTTACGAGAGGAACGGCTAGGATGAAGATCTGGAATTCGTCCGCTAGGGACCTGTTGAGCTTTTAAGGAAGACAGACACATTCCTCTTAATTCTTCTTACCCTTTCATTCTTTAAGTACTGATGTTGTCTACAGACCCTTTCCCTGATATGACTTAGAAGTTTTCGTTATGTAAACTTCGACCCGATTGTGACTTTACCGATTGCGAATTTACCGATTGTGACTCTAAATTAAATTTAGGCGTGTGATACGCGAAGTTATCAACTGACAACCAGGTACACACTTTATTTTCTTCTTCTTCTCCTCTTATTAATGCTAGTTGAGTTTTATTTAATTCTTTTTGACTTCCACTTTGGCATATGCTTTCATTGTGATTAGGATTTTATCCAGTGTTGTATTTAAGCCATTTCGATACCGTCTGTTTAATTAGAGATTTCCTAAAAATATCTCGTTCTCTAATTTATCTTAACGAATTACTTATGAGTACCGATCTCGATGCTATCTCTTAAATAGGCATTTCTTTTATATCGAATAATTTGGTTAATTTGGTTATAAATATATTCTTGAAAAGTATACATCAACGCAGAGCCAGACATTGATAACATTCAGTTTGGCTTCAGAAACGCAATGGCTACAAGCAAAGTTTTGTTTTCCCTGAAGTATTGAAACAAGTATGTACTGATGTTTACCCAGCATGTTCTTAATGTTTGTTTTCTGGATTAAAACAAGGCATTTAACAAAGTTCGACATAACCGTCTTCTTCAATTAACTACTTAGAGATAAAAATCTGAATACGACATGAAATTTTATCAAATATCGGACTTAATATAAAAATATGGATAAAGATAAATATTTGGAGAAGGTGTAACCGAAAATAATGATTTATAGGCAAAAGATTCAATCAAAAATTGAAAATTTCGATTATTAATATAATATGAGAAAAATGTAACGATCTACGTAAGATCTACGTAACCTAACTCAGTTTAAAAATTTAAAATCCTTTTAACAACATTAAAATATTATTGCTAAATGCGATTGTTTGTTTATGACATTGAAAATATGGGTGTAACTAGGACGCGCGCTGATCTAGTGAAATTTGCAATGTAATCAAAAGCTTATTAAATAATGTGTACAAATTATATTAGTAAAACAATTTAGAACAATTAGAAGTATATTTATTACTAAGAATGAAGAATTAAGAGTGAACAGTCGAAGCTAGTGTTGTCATCCGTCAACTGGGTACTCTCCCTATTATTGTAAAGATGTTTCAGAATCTCGTGGACCTCGTAAATACGCATGCAGGAAAAAATAAATGGATCATAAAAACATGCACCATTTTAATTTCATAAGAAATTGGGCGACAGGGTAGGATTTGCACGTGCTAATAATGTCGAGTATTCCTAATAAACATGACATATTATGTTTCTTTAATCTTAAACATTCCAGTTAGTCATCGTATTTTTATTTTAGCTATAATAATTTACGACTTCCCATCTTCACAGCCGATAAGAATTGCTGCGTAAACATGTAAAATATTTACATTGCACTAATTTGGCTTGTAAATAAACCTTTTAAGAATTGAAAAAAATCTAGAGAACAAATAAATAAATAACAAATAAATGTATGATAGAAAAATAATAGGATTTTGGATTTAACTTCAGCAAAATATGTTTATATACGAGACGAAAACAACAAATTCCTTGGGAAAAATATTCGCATAAGATTTTTTACCGCATGAAATTTTTTGCATAATCACTTTCATAAAAACTGCAGAATAATGTTCAAGATGTCGCCCATATAAAAAGTGGTCCTAATTTATTGAATAGTTTTGTATAAATTCATTTTTACATTGGGATAAGGGCCTCAAACAACTAAAAACAATGTTTTAAAATCAAATAAGCCCAAACTAAAGTATCAGGAACTGATAAAACAAGGTTTGGTGAATTCAAAAATAATTGTGTTTTAGAGCCTCAAAAATCATGATTTTTCGTTTTTGTTTTCAGTTTTAAATTGTTTAAGTTGAAAACGATCAACTTTCGAGAAAAATTACAATTAACCTTTTTTATTGAGAATGATCCAAAATCTGTGTAATTAAATTGTCTGCGTATTTAAATTAAATGAACACCACCTTCAATAATGAAGGTTATATCTCTCTTCTTCTTTCTTCAGCGCGCTGGACTGAAAACTGGAATTTCGTTCTTGCACTTGGATGGAGGGTGATAAACTATTTACTTTTATGGGGTTATATGACACTCTCTAGATGGTACTGATATTATATACTCAATTTGACTGTGCAACCGGAATAGTCTTTAAGTATTTAAGAATATTAATGCGGCATCTACATGGAGACGGAGTGTTAGGTTACGCACGATAAGACACACACACATACACGTTAATTAAAACTAAATAAGAAATGAAATAATTAATAAAATGTTAAAAGAACTAAAAAATATACATGGAGGGACGGAATACCGAGCTTGCCACCTTGATAAGTTTGTATTCATAGGTCATTGTTGTAGCCGTCGTCGTCGTCGCTATCAGAGAGTTCTGTGTCAGATGATTCGCTATCATCATCTAAATTTATCATGATCTCATGCGCTTCATCCAGAATGTATTCTCGGCTGAAGTACTCTTCTTCTACTTTATCAACATGCCTGCAAGTATTTGCCCATATTTCTGGCGTGATTTCATTTAGCCTAATTTTTGCTAGTTCTAAAACATCTGCTAATTTAAAAGTCGTGTTTCTTGCTGCAACTTCATTTTTTAAAATGGCCCATATCTTTTCAATTGGGTTAAGTTCCGGATGATATGGTGTAAACGTAAAACCGAGTGGCCGTGCTGTGCTAATAATTGGTCTACAGGATATACTGGGTTTTTAGGTTTAGCAATGCGTATCTTACTGTAGAGCTGGTTTTGTTTCGCTTTCATCGAAAAATATATTTCTTTTTGTCAACCATTTTTTTATGATTTTTTTTTTTCGAAGCCGATGTATAAGATTTTTCAAGAGTCACATTATGATATGAGGCGTTGTCTATTACTAAAACTGACTTGGAAGGTAAATTGGGAAGAAGTTTGTCTTTCAACCACTTCATATAATTCTGGTGATTCATGTCATCATGATAATCACCAGTTTTTTGTCCGGATTTGAAAATGAAAGCGGCATTTTCGACAAATCCATTTTTACCACCACAATGTAAGATGATCAGTAGTTGCCCTTTAGATACCGGAGATGTTATGTACTTGTTTCGTCCATCATCCCAACCTTTTGGAACTGTGTGGGAACTATGTATATAAGTTTCGTCACTATATACAATATTTCTATCTAAAAAAAATTGTGAATTACTTTAAAATTAGTTATAATGTAAATAAATAAATATCTTACTTTCAGATTTGTATTTTTTCAGTTTTCTTAGAAATTCTGTTTATTTGGTTCTTATGTCAGTTTTTTCAATTAAAATTTTTCTATTGTCTTCCACTTTTCTCCACCTAAATCCTAATTTTTTCACAATTTTTCTGAAAGAAAATAGTTTACCAGTTACAATTCCTTCGTTTCTAACAGATTCGTAAACAGTTTTCATGGTAGGTCTTCTTTTGTAGATGGTAGCAAACGTGTAAATGGTATTTCTTATGACGTGTTCCTCAAATGGATTAACTGATGACTTGGGGCTGGGCTTGCAAATACTTGGTTTGCGTGATACAAATTGTGAAGTTGCTGGTTTGTTTTTACCTTCCTTAGTTATCCTTTTTACCGTACTTTCTGAGGTACCAGTTGCTTGAGCCACTCGCACTATTAGGGGTAAAGGAGTTGTGCAATATCCCAAATCTTTTTCCCGTTTCATAAATGAATAAACGTTAAAAAAATAATTTGCCTCCCTTATCTATGGACCACTTTTACTATATTCTATAGACAAGCTTTTACAATACATATCAATCTTTTGCAAAAAATATTAAAATAAACAATAAAGTTATCAGATTTTACACACTTTTAAAAGTGATTTTTTTTTTAATTCAATAATTTGTCATAAGTGTACAAAACATATAAATTATTTTAAAATAAACATAATTTAACTTACATTTTTAGGATCTCACTGTAAAATGTTAAAAACGACTTGAAACGCACTGAACAT